TGTGAGACTAGCAATATAATTATCTTGTTTCATGTATGTTGGTTTTCCCAAAAGATATGAATATCTGGGCGTTTAATTCTACTGAAATTACATGTCTAATAAGTTCTAGATTACGCCTTTGATTATTTTTCTGGGGAACGATTGTTTTGTGGCATTGTTAAAAGCATATTTGCACAACCTTGTATATTTTGTCGCCGTCTTTTATATTTATGAAGTACATATATTTGCTGCTTCTAATCCTGTACTCTGATCTATGCTTAAATCCATTTTCTAGAAAGCGAAATGTAGTGGGCAGGTTTCAAATTATTTCATTATTTAGCATGGTGGGGATGTATTAAGGTAAATAAGGTAAATAATGTAACAAAGCTCTGACTGTGAATTTGTATCATTTACTTCTAATTTGAGCCATTTGTACTCATCAACATAATGCACTACGTTGAAAGACTGCCTATTTGTTTTGCTTAATCGGTTCTCAACTTGAAATGACAATAAACATTGGAACGATTTTCTTCAAATGCTTTTATTATTATATATGAATCTTGTATGTCAATTGCAGTTTTTGTGTAGTGTATGGTTTTTGTTATGAAGAAATCCATGATTGCAAGTATGTTGATTGCTTGAAGATGTATTCATGATGCAATCAATGAACCTGTTAAGGCTTTCGGGCATGCCGTTTTCCATTTCTGATCATTCAAATATTTACTCTCGACAGAGTTCCTGGAACTCTTGGCTCTTACATACTTGTGTTTGGAATTTATCATTTGTCGTGACTTCAGCGAAAGTGCACGGCATAATAAACTGTGCATAGCACTTGCTTGTTTTATGAGTTGATGTATACCTGGACAGTGTCATTGGTCGACAAGGTGGAGACACAATGATGATGGAACTTTTGGTGGTTATATAACTATATTTAGTATATATTATATGGTTAGAAACAGCATCTTCCTTTGATAAATAATGAATCAAATGGATCAGGCTAACCATTGAGAGCTCCAGAAATATTTGGAAAATGGACGTGAGACCTGGTTTTGGTATTATATAGGAACCTTAGCTGGATTCTGTTATTTTATTGTGACATTGGGAAAGGTACATGATTTATCATATTCTTAGAATTTTCATCATTTATGCCTTGCTAAAAATTTAGCCCACGTTTGGTTGGGATAAAGATTAGATTTTTAATAGATTTTGGTAAAAGTTGGTGAAATATGGTTGAAATGTGAGATAAAAGTTGTAGGTTTCATGAAATATGTGTTTGAAATGAATTAGAAGAAAATTGAGTTTTTAAGAAATAGAGGTCAATTAGGGGCTCATTAATGTTTTAGTTATCGTGGTGATTAAAGATCTAATCGCTTTAGATATATCAGTAAACTTGGCAATGAATTGAAAAGAAAGACGAAGTACATCCAGATTTAGGGTTGGAGGGCTGGTTTTGCAAGCTCATTGATTAGTGTATTTTGTACACTTATTTATGCCATTAAATTGAAGTATTTATTAGTGATTTGGATAAATCATAGCTTAATTATGTTTATTATGTTGAACTCAATGCAAATTGGTGGAATTGAAAGAATGAAAAATGGGTAAAAACGAAAGAAATTCAAAGTTTGGGATCCAAATTGTAAATTTTCAATAGTTGATTAGAATCATAAAATGATTATTGAAGATCATGCATGATCAATTGGATGCAATTTGAAGTTAAATGGGTGAAATATAGTTGTAGTATTTTCACAACTTACTTTTTAATTGAAAAAGTTATGCTCCGAATTTTTATCAACTTAATACCTATTTTTTGGGTAGCAAACGTTCGAATTGAAAAAAATTGTATGTATGGAAGAATTGTAGCATTCTGAATCAACTTTTCAACTCACTTTGAACCATCTCGATCGGATATCATAAAAGAAAGTTATGATCAAAATATTAAAAGTTGCTTAGGGATGAACTCGGCAAACTTGCCCGG